GTCCAGCCCGCGCCCACCAGCCTGGGCGGGGCGGGCCGCGAGCCTTCCGGACGGGGTGGGCCCTGGCGCCGTCCGCAGTGGGACGTGGCGAGCGACAGAGGTCGCTGTTGGACCATTTTTCCGCGCCCGCCCGAGGCACCGAGGTAGATGGGGGTGCGGCGAGGCCACACTGCGAGCGAGCGAGAGCGAGGGAGAGGGAGAGGTGTCAGGTCTCTGGGGCTCAGTGTCCTCGGGGAGAGGCAAGAGCTCCCTGCGACGGCCGCTTCCCGTCGAACCCAGCGGCCAGGTGTCTGGTGCCAGGGCCAGACGCGCCCGCCTGGCCTCGCCTGCGGGGCCTCACTTAAGACAGCGGGTACTCGAGACGGGCACCCAGCGCGCGGCCTCCCGGGGGCGCCGGCCGGGATGCTGCCGCGTGCAGAGCTCCGGTCGGCCGCCTCTTTTCGGTTCTCCAGAGGGTCCGCGAACTGGACCTTTTTGGTTTCGAGCCTTTGGAAACGGGCTTTGGGGCGAGTGCGCGCCCCACGTGCGGGGAGCGAGGCCCGGGAAGCCGGGGCAGAAAAGACCCCGGTGGGGTCTAGCAGTGGGGAGCGGTTGGGCATAGGGGAAAGAGGGCCCAGAGGGCCAGAGGGCGCAGACCAGTTAGAGCAGCTGCCGAGGGCACTCCGGATGGCCAGACCCTCTGGCAGCGGGGCGCTGGGCCGCGTGCACCCTCCGCGCCTCCAAACTGCGGCGGTGGCGTCGAGTGCGGCGAGCGGCTCCCTCCCCAGCGGGGAGAGGACGCCCGGCTCGGGTTCGGATCTCTCTCCCGGCCCGGTCGGACCCTCGGGGGATCGCCGCTGACCGCGACCTCGGGGCGGCCCGGTACCCTCTCGCCGCCTTCGGGGGGTACATTCTCGGGCCGGGTGACCCTGGCGGGAGAAGCGACTCTTACCTAATTGCACACACGCAGACACCAGTTTGCGGCAGTTGGTCTCCATCCCCCGTTATCTGTAAAACACAAGACAGGGAGGCGGTGAGCAGTGGGTCCGCGGGTGACAGGCGCGGGCTACCTGCGGGGCGACCCCCTCAGCGCTCCCAGGCGCGCAACGCAGCGCGGGGTCTCAGGGCGGCCTCGGACCGCGGGCCGCCTCCCCGCCAGCCCCCGGCCCAGAGCCTTCCTATTAACCGAGAGGGGGCCGCCACCAGAATCGCAGCGAATTGACCCCACGGCCACCTTAACAGATACAAGATGGGGTGAGGGGGGCAGGACTGTTCTCTTCGGGGAGCAGAGCGCGATGGCCGCCTCTCAGCACCGTGCTTGCTCGCTCGTTGGAGCTCAGAAATACATGTAGGACGTCGGGGTCAGCTGCTCCTTTCCTAGCCAGCAGTTTCCCTCGATTTTCTAGAAGGAACAGGACGCCAAGGCTCTCGGCCTAGGAGCTCCAGGAGCGTGCTGGCCTGGGGACGCTCATCCATCAGGAGCCACTTTCCCAGATTTAGCCACACTTTTCCCTGGAGATCCTCAACCGGCCGCTTATTTACTCCAAAGGACGGTTTCAGATGGCCCCGGAGGGAAGCGGGAGGACTGGGAGAGCCAGAGGAGAACGGGGCACTCGTCCCCCGAGGGCTTACTGTCCGCCAAAGGACTGAGCAGTAGCTGCGAGAACGGCTCCCCCAGCTCTCCCCCGTCTGCTCCCCGGCCAACCAAATCTTTTCCAAATTTCCAACCACAACTCAGCGAGCCAAGCGTTTAACGCGCGCCCTCTTCTTCGCCACAGGCAAACGGGGAGAGGTGGGTGGCGAGGGGGCTGGTTCGGGGGTGGGTGGCAGAGTCGCGGCTGCTTTAAAGACAGAAGAAAAGAAAGACGGTCTCAGGCTCCCCGGGCCCCTCGGACCTCGGCG